CTCACTGTAATATGTTCAAATCCCTGCTCAGGATAGGGCTAACTCCCTCATCTGCTTGGAATCTTGTAGATGACACTCCTTACCCAATACTATACCCTCTTTTCCAGGCAGCCATATTCAATAACTGATCCTCAGGAAATGGCTTAACCCAGATCTCACATTAGAGTATCCAGTGGTCACCTTTGAGACTGCATTGCCACTCTATTTCTTCTATCTAAACTTCTTCCCTTTTTTTACCTCTGATTAATGAGGCCAGAAGTAGTCCATAATAAACTTTCTGTATTCTCTTCTCCATTCCCAAAGTGTGCGTCCAAAAAACCTGGCCAATATTGGCATTGTTAGTCAATGATAAGCCAACACTTGCACCAGGTAACCTAAATCAGTAGTTGAGCTCTTGACCCACTAAATGTACCACTTCTTATTATCACTAGCCATGTGTATCTTTATATCCTTGGTACTAAGCATAGATAGTCAATAAGTACATGCCAGATAACCTTTTCATATATTGCTTAGGTCAATTGGTTTGATCATTTGTTCATCATTCTTGACCTCAAGCACCTTACAATCCAGTCTATTTCCACAAAAGAGCAGGCCATGGAATAATAGTCTAGCATTTATGATTTTAGAAAAGTCAATCAGCTTTTGTTTTATTTATTATAACTTTTAGAAACTCAAAAAATTTAAATATAAATATAAATACATATTTCTACTTTTTAAACATAGCCTGGCCCAAGTCTTCTTTATGTTGACTTGTAAATATCTTTTAAATCATTAAAATCAAAATGTTTACAGAAGAAGGAGAAAAACAGCAGAAGATGCTCACAAATGTAAGAAGCTGGGGTCTAAAGAAAGTGTCTATGTCAGGAATTTAGCTTCCCTGTACCTTAAAATCTGAAGCTGGTGCCTCAAGCTGTGTCTCTCTGAAGCCAGAGATGGTGACAGAGTGAATCTGCCATTGAATATCTGCAGGAGAGAAACCAGAGTACATATTGCTCACATTCCTTTAAACCTTAAACTATCATCTTGAACTCTTTTGATTTTGACTAACAACTAGGCTAAAGAAGGGATCATTTTTCAAATAGGTGCTGAAGAGAGCACTTTTTTTTAAACCAGTGTTTGAATTGTTACTTGCTTAATCGTTTTAACTGAGGTTTGCTTTTTTTTTTCTGCAAACAAGGAGACAATTTTTTAAAAACTCTGACAGAAAAATATGTTAAAATTTTATAGTCAGCAAACATGTCCTTTAAAAATATGAGATTAAATTATTTCTAGATAAACAAAAACGAGGAAATTCATTACTAGACGACCTACTCATATGAAATGTAAATAAAAGAAAATTTTATAGTTGAAATGAAAGGATACTAGGCAGTAATTTGAATCCACATGAACTAATAAGGAGTCCCAGTAAAGTTTCTAAATACATAAATATAAAAAATGTATTAACATGTATTCTGTTTATAGCACCTTTCTCCCACAATTTGATTTAAGACAGTCCCTAATGCAATACCAATAAATCTATCTTGATGGGCACATATAAATAAAGATGTAATTTATAAACATCAAAGTGGGGGGTATGAATATATAGGAGCAAAGTTTTCATATTCTATTGAAATTGTTGGTATTAATCTAAACTGGATTTTATAATTAAGGTGCAATGTATAATCCCCAAGGAAGTCACTAATAATTCAAAATCATGTAGTAAAAGAAACAAGAGAATGCAAATAGTCCACTAGAACACATTTATTGACTTCCTTAGTGATGGAATGGAGAAAATAAGGGAAAAGCAGACGTAAGACAAAATAGAATTGCAGATACAGGAACTACATTAAAGGTAAATGATTACTTTCTCCCATTAAAAGATAGAAACATAATATCCATTTATATGTTCCTACAAAGACTCACTTTAGATTCAAGCACAGATATAGCTCCAGAGTAAAATGATAAAGTGCTACAGTGGCGATACTGATATCACACAAAATAGTCTATGACAAAGCTGTTGATATTGAAGAGCTGGCAGGGAAACTAGAGGGAAACTTCAACTTCTACATTGGGCTACATGGTTAGACACATGAAGACAGGGACTGTTTTATTAAACTTCATTTCCCATTGTAGCTCACATTTCAGGGTGTGATATTTAGTAAATGAGTTGACCAAATGAATACATTTATGTAGGAACATTGAGTTATTCCTATAGAAGTGATATTATTTTAAAGATTTATTTATTTATGCATACAGAACTGTGGTACAGGCCAGAGGTGCAGGGGTGGTGAGAGGATTCACCAGGGACAGAGTGGGGAGCAGAACAGGCAGATCGAGGAAGTACACTGCTGAGGGGAGCAGCGGGCGGTCAGGAGAGGTCTGCCACGCCATGTGGTCACCACCGGGGCAGGCAGGGATCGAACTCATGCTGAAGTGGCTTTAGCTTCTTAGTGCTGTGCTTTAATTCACTGTGCCACCAGGGAGGGCACAGAAGTGATATTTTAAAATGAGTTCTATGACAAGGGTAGAAAGAGGAGTGAGTGAAAAACTAAATCATGGAAGTGTGAAAAGTTTCATATTTATGAGGCGGAAAGACTGACTTATCCCAGAGAATGAAAAATAAAAGTTGGAAGTAAGGAAATACTGGAGTTATGAAGGACAAGGAGTAGTAGAGTTTCAAAGAGAACAACATATACACATACTACATATTAATCTTCTACATGGTGTTAATGTAGAGCATGTTATGTACATGAACACGTAAGCCTACATAACTGCATTTTATATATTTATAACTGCATTGTGTAAAATCAAAATCATCGACCACATACATGCCACCCTTTCAGGATTCCATCAAGAAATCTAAATTGGAGTTTTTCCTGTCTGCTGAAAGGGAACACTTAATCCTCCTGGTACCATAAATAGTAGTATTTATATAACCTTCAATAGCCTATGTATACTAAAAATGTTCCAGAGAATCTCTCATACTCAGAGGCACTGCCTACTTGCTCAGTGTTTGGACAGCTCTCTTTAAATCACAGCTATTGCTTGGCCCTGTTTGTCCCTCCTTAAAGTATACAAAGTCTCTTTCTTCTGAAAAAAATCTCAAGTGTTGTGTATATAGTGCAATAAAAATTCCCATAAGCCAAGAAACAAATGATGCAAAGTAAATTTGAAGTTGGAGGAGGATTTTAGCTATTTGAAGACACTTTCTCCAGCAGAAACATTTATATCTGTCTTAAATTAAGGCAATGGGAGGAAGGAAGTACAGAGATGAAATAGAAATTGACTAATATTTCATCAATTTGTTCCCTAGGGCTGCAATGTAATGGTGCCAGATATCCTTATTAGTCCCAGCTCCTACGCTTTTCCTTTCTTCATACTTGAATTACTAACTTTGCCACATTATCCAATTTGTTTTCGGAAGAGACATACCAATTGTGGTGTATAAAGTATTTGCTGCTCCAATTTATACTAAATAAATCAGTGCTCAGATCTATGCTTGCTAACAAAGAAAATGTTGCAGTTTCAGTGAACAGCTGTCGAATGGTCATGTATTAAATGTCTTAGGTGACGTTTTGGGATATTAGGTGATGGACATTTGTTCCTATTTCCACAGGTTGGCGCACCATGACTACACGTTGACAAACTTCCTTTCTTGCTTTTCAGTTCATGAGCATCCAGATGAGTGATTCCACAGATAATTACATGAGCCAGGAGTGGCCAAAAATTAGGGCTCTAGAATTTAACTCAGGAGCAAAACAGTTGCTCCAAAGGGCAGTAGCTCATCTTCCGCTGCAGTTGGCAGTTCAGGAGTTGCTTAGACTGGGAGCCACTCTGGTTCTGATCTCTCAGATTTGCACTTAAGCTTTTCCTTTTATTCTGGGAATTATCCAAATCACCTCCAATAAATCCAAGTTTTTTCCAATGTATCTTGAATGTGCTTGTTGCAACCAAAAAGCACAAAACAACCTAACAAGTTGGAAAAGATTTTATTTAAAAATACAAGCCCAAGGTACAGCACTGCCCAAACCAAGGTTCACCATGAGGTTCTGCTGTTACGTAGGGTCCATGCCCATGGGTCAGTTCTCTGCAGACGTCCAAGGGTCTTCTTCCTCCCCACCCCACTCCCCATCACCTCAGCTGAGCACTGGAAATACTCACTTCATTTGTTTCTTTCTCTCAGGAATCATAATCTAGTAGAATCATAATCTAGTCTCTTGAAACTATTGTTTCATACTTTTGTCAAATTTCTGTAGTTGTTTGAGGATGGAAGATAATCCTATTCCATCAAGGTTCAAAAGATGCAAAAACATAACAGCCATTAATTGATAAATATTTATGGAATGCCTACTGTATGTAAGTGCAGGGACACCCCAATGAACTGAACTCCCCACAGTTCGTGCCCTCATGGATACCATAATCTAGCAGAGAATAGCAACAATAGTTAAGTAACCATTCAGGTAAATATGCAACATACACCAGGATACATGACTGTAGAGAGAGTACCATGAAGGCAGATAATGGAGAGACTTGATTTAGCCCATGCAATCAGGAAAAAATTCCCAAAGCCAAGAGTACTTTAAGATTTAAGGCATTAGTAAGATTTGGTATCTGTATTGTGGAGCATGGAAAGATTATCAAGGACAAAAGCTTATGGAAGAAGCCTGTGACAGGTGATATGATTAGCTACCATGAAGTCCAACTCTGAGATCTCCCATGAAGAAGCCAAGACTCAGTGTAGGCCATGTCTGGGCATACTGTATTAGTGGTAAAGCAGGGCCTGGAATCCACCTTCAGGTCTAGTGTCCTTTCCATTTTACCATGGAGCTATGCAAGTGCAGGAAATAATAGCATGCTTCATGTAATGATACTTGGCATGTTATGGTCCATAACATATTATGTGCAATCCATAAATATGTAATTTGCTGTCATTTATAAAAAGTTATGGACAAGAGTTTAATCAAAGTAAACTTTTTTAATTGTCTATATTTGTATGTATTTACAAGAAATATGCTGTAAAATGTAAAGAAATATATAATAGAGTACAATAGAAAAAAGAATGAGCATTCACACATTAGCACGCTAAAGCCATAACAGCATCATAATGGCCTGGGAATGTTAATGCAGCTCCCTAAGTGGCTAAATTACACCCAGAGGATTCTTGCTCAGCAGTGTAAGCTGTTAGTGCTTTCAGACATTTTGGGAAATGCATCCATTGTCCCATTCCAAGCTTAATTGGCATAATAAATGTCAATTAAAGCTCCTTTAAGATTTTAAACGGCAAAACTCAAGTGAAACTACTTATGGATAGACTTATACAAGACATCTCTATAAGAAGTCCCTCCTAAGAGGCAGTGTGTTTACAATTACCATGGGCTATATCTCTGCTAATGTGGGTCAACACAGCAAACTTGTACTTGCATAGTAACAAGAGATTTCCCCCACAGTTATCCTAAACATATCTCTCCTAAATTAATTACAAACTGTTATGTGCTGTTTGTGTTAGCAGAATTCAGTTTTCTTTCAACAAACACACAGAAAGCACCAACTATGTGCTAGAATTGGAAACACAGTAGTGATCAAGGTAGGATTCCCCCACCAGTGAGGAGGAATCCTTGAAGAAGCTGCCAGAGAGTCCCTTTTCCCCCTGATTCTGTCTACATAAGACTCCTTTTATAACTTTTACTTCTGAGGCTGAAAGGATAATTCCTCTAGTGCAAATATAAACCAGTCTTTTTTTATGAACTTCTGAACTGGACATTTTTTTTCATGTCTTTGTATAGCTCATTAAAAAGATATAAAAAATTCCCATGTTAGTTTAAGTAGCCCAGGCTGCCAATTGTTTGAAGTCATCATCTTCTTCTGTCCTCCTGGAAGATACTAAAGCATGAAATGGATACAAATTAGTAATTGGTGATATTCAAATTTTCAGCACAGAAAATAGGATACAACTTATATGTGAAAAGATATATATTTAGGAAATTAAAAATAACTGTTATAAGGGGGTTGAGGCCTTTCCCTGACCACAGGGAGTTAAGAAGGGGAACAGACCTGCTCGGGTTCGATGTACAGAGGACATGCTTGGCACTCGGTCCGGCTGTGCTGGGAGTGAGGAGGAAGGCACATTTGGAAGTCGGATATTTGTCATCTTCTTATTTAGTTCCTCCTGCTCCAGTTCTTCAAGTTCTGCCATCAACTCATCCTGAACAGAGGAGAAAGAAAGAATTACGGAGTTAACGTTTCAAGAAGTGGGTTTCCCCAAACACAATAACAAGAACATCTGCTACCCAATTGATATGTGAGAAGCCAGTGAAACGGAATATTTATGTTAAGACTAAGTCTTTTTTGCAACACTGAACAATGATTAAAAAATGAATATTTGGGGTTGTGCAAATTTGTTGCAGTTAATCTTATAATACTTCAGTAAACAGATATTCAATCTATGCTTGCTGAAAATATAATCACCACAGTTTCCAGGAAACTTACACCTTGCCTGTCATTTTCCCAATGTGTCTTTCTCACTTCTGTTGAATTAAGAATCTATGAAACTTTAATTGGAGAAATAAATATTTTCATTTAAGCTAACACTACTGGAAATAAGTCTAGCAAATCCATAATGTACAAAAAGTAAAAAGAATCAAAGGTAGCATGTTCCCTTTGCTACAATACCACAGCCAATATAAATCATGCTGTATGCTTGGATTAAGAATGTTACCACTCAGGGGCCCATCTGGTGGCACAGCAGGTTAAAGAACAGCATTAAGAAGCTAAAGCCACTTCAGCATGAGTTCAAACTCCACCCCGGAGGTGATCCACATGGTGCGGCAAAACTCCTGGCTCACCCGCTGCTCCCCTCAGCAGTGTACTTCCACAGTCTGCCTGTTCTGCTCCCCACTCTGTCTCTGGTGAATCTTCTCACCACCCCTGCACCTCTGGCCTGTACCCCAGTTCTGTATACATAAATAAATAAATCTTAAAAAAAATGTTACTACTCAAAGTAGATACACTGCATTTTTTTTCTTTTAGCAATAGTGCCAGAGAACATGGTGTAATCCTAAACTATTTTCTGAGCTAAAAACCTTAGATTTTAACAGTATGAGTTACCTGAAGCAAATCTAATATGACTTGTAGTTGTTCAGCTCTAGCTGGCTTCAGGGGTTCTTAGGGGAAGTCCAACCCCCTCAGCTAAGTTTGTCATCACAGCAATTCTGTTGCTGTCATCCTTGGAAATAACCTAAGACTCTTATATTTGACCAAGGAGACTCTTTTGTATTCACTCATTAATCACTGAACAAATGTACTGAGAGCTCACTCTGGCAAACTTTAAACTCAAAACTGGGAAGGCAAAGTTGAACCAATGGTCCCTGCAATAAAGTGCTTATTACTGAAAGTGGGAAAAAGGCATCTGAACAATTATCCTATATTGAAATGAGAGCCACAAGAGAGGAGGTCTCTAATCCAAGTACAAAGTTTGATCAAACCAACGGGTCAAACTTGCAGCAAGAGGAATGATTATCTTGCCTTAGTTAAATCTACTTCATGAAAAAGAAATAAAACATGAAAGCATTGACCATGTGAATGCCAAACTGGAATGTAGTATGTGCTTTCAGGTTCTCTATAGAAGATATAAGTAAAGAGCCTTTAGAATTAGCATTCTCATGTCCCTTTTTTTTTTTAATCTCAAAACACTAGGGGTAAAAATAATAAATATGGGAAATGGTAAAATACACTATTTTACATTGATGTGTGTTCAGAATTCCAATAATGCTTCACAGTGATCAGTAGCACTGAAAATATACCAATGGTTTATTTAACAAATGAAATAACAGCTGTCAACTCCTCCATCATTTTCAGTCAAGTATCAAAATACTTATTTGATCATTGATAAAATAATTTAGAATTTAAGAGACTTTAAACATAATCTAGTGATCTACTAAATTCTACTTCATAGCTGAGAAAACTAAAAGTCAAAAAAGGGAAGGGACTTAACAAATTTTAGTAATAAATGGTAAATCCAGATGCCCTCATGAGTCCAGACCCCACTCTACCAAATCATACTGCACACCTTAGACACCTGTTAGTCTAACCAGGGATTGGCAAACTTTTTCAGTAAAGAGCCAGGTAGCAATATCTTAGGCTTTGCAGGTCACATATAGAATCTTTGCATAATGCTACAGACTAATGTGACTGCTATTCCTTACAATCCTTTAAAGAGGTAAAAACCATCCTTAACTCATGGTTGGGAAATATTTGGCCTCAAAATCAATTTTTTCCAATCTCTAGTGACACTCAATTCTCATTTCTAGGATCAGTGGAACTCCAATTCTACTTATTAGAAGGATATTTTTTAAAACCATATCAATACAGGAAGTGAGATTCTTTGTTAGACAAATCTGAGGATTATTAGCTATTCAACATATATACTCATTCTATTTGTGCTTTCCATAGCACACTTGAAATCCACAGTACAATATCGCCATTATAATTGTAGCTTGCATTATTGAACTGATTAATCTAAACGGAATGTGTGTGTTAATAACACACTCCACATTTATTTTGTTTCACAGCCTGAGTAATAAACAGAGGCAACCTAACCTCTAATTTAACAACTACAAAGCATAATATGTCTGTTCCTTGCAGAGTGACACAGTCTGCTTTGTTTTGCCCAGATGTTTGAGCACTCAATTCCTCGTAATGGGGCAATTTAAGCTTCAACCATTAAAAGTCACTAACTTTACATAATCACATGCTGCTTTTCCTTAATAGCTGAAAACTTAATTAGGGGCTGTTTGCCAAACTATATTAATCTTTCCTTAAATCAGAACCACCAACACTTCACTTACTTCTCATGAGAATTACGTTCCTAACAAATATTGCTTACTGTTTAAGTGATAAGGAATCCTGTCTGCTAGATACAGTGGGGAGCTGTCCCTTAGAGTAGGCACACTGCCACATTCTTTATCAGAGTCACCCACCTCATCAAAGTCATCGCCAAATCCGACCCGTTGAGAAAAAGCTTCTGAAATTTCTTGGGCAATATCCTGTTGCTCTGTGACCTCTTGCATCAAATCGTCTATTTTGTTTAGATCCCTGGGAAATAATATTTTTTTCGAAACAGTTTAGAAATTTTGTTTCAAATGATGAACTGAGATATAACTCCATTTGAAAAATGAGCCCATTTAAAAGAAACTCTTAGTTATTTCAGTAGAATAATGAAAATTTCTGGAGATAATACTTAGCGATTTAAAAAACAGCTTGCCTTAAGTAACTAGTAATCCTGTATAGGGCAGATTTTTTTTTATATAATATAATAGTTATTTTTACATCATTTTGTACATTTTTTTTTTCATCTCAATTATAATCCCCGTGGATTTCCCACCACCGAGTCACCTGTGTGCCATCACCATAGTCCCGTGCACTCCTCCCTCCCCCATTTTTGATCCCATTCCCCACTCCACCCCCACAAAATGTCCTCTGGTATATGGCAGGCGCAGATATTTTAAATATTAAATAATAACCATTCCATTTGGAAGTCACAAGAGATAGAATTATTTTATAATTTAATATGTGTAGGCTCATTTGCAATTGTGTCTGGTAGGAAACAGGTAAAATTTAAACATGTTGCTATGTAGCATCTCTGCAGTAAATGGTGCCAAGGACCATGCAAGATCATGCAGAACCACCTTGACTTAGGGCAGTTGTGGCTGCTCTCAGCCAGCTACCATCTGACAGCAACCTTTTGTTGCTAAACTCTGGAATGAAAGATCTAGTTTCTAGAAAATTTAGTGACTCAGAGATACTGACTCCCTGAAGTTTTTCTATAACTGCTGATGCCCTGGAAAATTACTGATGAGTACAGGGTTAAGTCTATGAACCCTAAGAAGAATCAGCAACTTCAGCAAAAGTATGCAGGTTACCACTGGCCCAGAATGGACAGGTGTTTTGAAGACATGTTCCAGCACCTGAGCACCACTGGTCCCCAACCACCAGCCTGAGTTGTAAGTGGATTCATTTCTCTAGCCCCCAGACTCAGAAACATTCCTCCAATTCTGAAACCAGGCTGAACTGATTAGAAACAAAGGAAGTTCCCTCATTGTTAATGAGCTAAACAATGAATTTTTGATTCCCAGTGGAAGGGGGGGAGCCTTTTTGCAAATTTCCCAGACACTATATACAAGGAAAGTTGTATATTTTGAGTTAATTTCATATAACCAAAAAAACCAAAAAGAAGACTTATATACCCACATATCACCCCTTTTTCAAATTCTTGTATTTATTATGAACATATAAAGAATATTTTATTTTTAAAAATAAAATATTTGTGAAATGTATGGCTAAAGTTTGATAAAGTTTGAGCCTGGGACTGAAATTTTCTCAAAAGGAATGCAATGTGAGGATGCTGTAACACTAACTACCTAAACAGAAAGGCAATGGTTTCCAGAAACATTTTAGCAGTCGCTATACTACAACCAGAGAGGATTCTGATTCTGATAATGAAACTAATGACCTTTCAGAAGTTGTCTAAAATGACAGCTGATTGTCAAGACGAGAAAATGTTAGCAGGGATGTCTCCACTGGCCCTTGGCAATCCATGGAACCTTCTCTAAATCCCTCAGGTACTTAATGCTCTTGAGCATCTTTGGCCCAGTCTTCACTCTGCTATCTAACCTCAGGAAATAATTAGGTCCCAGTAATTGATTTCCCAGTGTGAATATAAACCAAATTGTCACTGCCCCAATACCACACTCAATATTAATCACTGAGAGCTTGCCCTATGATGGGAACTACATCTAGTGCATTATATCTAATATTTCAGTGAGTCTCATGATAACCACCAGGAAAGTACTATTAATACCCTCCAGTGTACACATAAGGAAAGGACCAAGAAGAAGCAAAGTACCTTGCCTAAAGAGTGGAACTGGGGTTATAACCTAGAAAAATCTAACCCCCCATCCATGTCCTTAACTAATACTCTATGTCAAGATTCTCAAATACTGACTAGTATCAGAATCACCTTAAGAATTTGGTAAAAGCAAACAAAAAAGGCCCTCTTTCTTGAAGGAGCATTTGTATTCTTTTTAATAGCTCAACCAAATTTTGATTTCCACCAAAGTTTGATAACTACTAATTCTATAGTTCTAATATTGTTCCAGACTTTGACATTCAAAGCTTTTATGAAATTACGGAATGAATCTATTTTAAAGGTGGCGTGTAGGCAATAGTGAGTTGACTCAAAATCATTAACAGGAAAGTAAATGTCCTTTTCTTCATGTTTTGTTTTGCTTGTTTCCATTTACCATGGCAGCTTCTAATCTTTTTCTGAGGAAGCATTCCTGTCCAACACATCATAAAGCCTCAAATGTAAGCCCATTTCTGGCAAACTCATCAGCTAGTCCCCATGCTCTTCCAACACATACTCAGAGGAAAACAAGTCACTTACATGTTTTCATGGACTGCTTTCATGGCTTTTGCTGCAAAGCCCATGTTCCTTAACACCTCGGTGTTGGTGTGTGAGTTTTCCAGGGCTTCTCTCTGGAACTCAATGGTGGATAGTGTGCCATCGATCTGGGTGAGCTGCTTCTCAAACCTCTTCTTTCTCTTTAGTGCCTGTAATGCAGCTAAATAAGGAAGAGGCCACATTTATAAGCAAGGACCTAAGTCACTCACTCGAGACACCTGCTCAGTACCAACCAGACTCAGTGTGGTTGACATAAATACACCAAATAAAGCTGAGAAAATTAAAGGTAACCACTAGCCTTCCAATCACATGCACTAGTTACAACTCCCTCCAACATTTTCTTATTCTTTCCTTCCAAATATCTGGCAAGTCTGAACGATAAAATGTCAGTTTTCATACGCTATAAAGCATCCAACAAAAAGTGTTTCTGTCAGTGAAGAGTTTGGGGGAAAAAACAGAGATATGGGTAGTGAGAACATAATGACTATGTATTCTAGCCCCATTTCCCTATTTTTAAAAAAATATTTATTTATTCATGTATACAGAACTAGGGTACAGGCCAGAGGTGTGTGTGTGGTGGTGGTGGGGGGAGGAGAGGATTCACTTCACCAGAGAAAGAGTGGGAGTAGAACAAGCAGATTGATGAAGTACACTGCTGAGGGGAGCAGCAGGCGGGTCAGGAGAGGTCTGCCGCGCCATGTGGGTCACCCCCCTAAGTGGAGATCGAACTCATGCTACAGTGGCTGCAATTTCTTCATAGTGCTGTGCTTTAACTGGTTGTGCCACCAGGGAGGGCCCCCATTTCCCTATTTTAAAGACAAGTTAATTGAGGCCCAGAGTGTTAAAAGACTTGCTTGAAGGTAGACAATTAGTGTCTAATCAAAACTTGGGATACCAAGCTGTGAGAATGGCTTAGAGCAAACAGACCAGAAACTGTATTTATTGGTGAGAGTGTAAAAAGAAAGGAACTCTTGTACACTGTTGGTGAGCATGTAATTGGGCAGCCATTAGAGAAATGGTACGGAGACTCCTTAAAAATCTAAAAATGAAAAAACCACATGATCCATTAATACCTCTTTTAGATATTTATCAAAAATATATAAAGACACAATTCAGAAAGATTTATGCACCCCTATGTTCATCGTCTCATTATACACAACAAATAAGACATAGAAACAACCTACATACCCATCAAAGGATAACAGTACTTAATGCCGTACTACTCAATTAGGAAAAAGAGATGAAATCTTGCCATCTTGACACAGGGTAGAACTGGAGGTGATTATGCTAAGCAAAATAAGTCAATATAGCCTTATAAGGCTGAGTGATTGTTATAGAAATAAGTGATAATTTATGAAAAATACCTTGTTAAAAGCCCTGTGTATGGTCAAGACTTAGCAACTAGATATTATTAATAAGTGATTTATGTAACATTGTTCATTAATGAGATTTTATATCTTATTTCTGAGACCAATGAGCAAAAAGTTACTTGTTTTTTCACAATACCTCCCCTAACAGTAACATAAACTATAAAACAGCTCCCATTTTGATAGATGCAGGACATAAAAATTATTCATCTAAAAAGCTAAACTCCACTGTCCATCTCCACCCAACATACCCAGAAGTGCAAAGTTCAAAGTGTATCTCCTTGGCAGATATATCTACGTGTTTGAAAGCTTACTGATACCAAATGTCCAAAAGCACTTACAATATCTTTAGAGATTTTTTTTTTAAGTTCTTCATTTAAAACCATGCCATATTCCTAGAAGAATTAATTTTAGATTCCTTTCAAAAATCAAGAGATGCAACTTGATAGTTAGGATAAGGCTCAGACTCCCTGGATCTATGTTTTAATTCATCTCTACCAGTTAATCAATATATAATAACCTAGATATATGACCTTAAGTCTCATTAAGTGATATTTCCTCACTTGAGTAATAACAATAACTAGAAGATAAAAACAGAACATTGTGTTTGGAATCAAGTTACCATTTCTAAATCTGGCTATCCGCCACTACGTGGCCTTACATGGTACTATTGGGAAATGACGCTATAATTCATCTGGCTGCTATGGGTTAATTGAAATAACAAGTAATTACTAAATTTTGGGGATTTTCACCATAACCATCATCTCTTTCACAAAGTTTTAGATCCAAGTGGTGAAAGCCATGTGAAATTAATGCCCAAATTTATAAATATTTGTTGTTAACAATAATAAGTTCTTGTTTGGGCAAAATTTCCAATACCTATGTAATAGATGGCTTCTGCCCCTCAAAATATATGGGAGACATATAAAAGTTCAATAGGAGTTGAGATCTCAGCTTATACTATAACGCCCATAAACTGCACAGGGGCTTCAAACGCAGAAGGAAGGCAAGCAATGAAAGCTAGAGAAGCAATGAAAAAAGAGAGAGGTTAAAAGGAACGACCTCCTTTGTTTTTTCTCTGTGTGTGAGAGAAAGATAGCTGTATAGCTCCTCTAAAGCAATAAAACAATGTACCAAAGTAACCTTGTACTGGGGAATCAACAGGAAGAAGTGAGAGCTCGATGACCAGGAGAGCATAAACCTGGTCTAATGGAAGTAACCCCACATGGCTTCAGTCCATGGGCGGCAGGCAAGCTACAGGCCCAGCCTTCCACACAATCAAAAGCAGCAAGAAATCTGGATTTGCATGCAAAATCTCCCACATTTTAATGCCAATTTATATTTTCCCCAAAACCATGTATGAATAAAACTGATGGCTTCTGCATGATTGGATTTGGCCCCACGATACCTAACACTTTCTGCGGTTTCTGTGGGGCACATGAAGCTGTCTCCAAAACTTCTAAAAAGATTTGTTCCAAAGAGGCAAGAGCTGTACCTGAGGAGTTTCCCATGGGCTGTTTCTCGCATGAAATTATGAGACCACTGATTGGAGAGACTCTAACTTTGTTTTTCAATAAACAATTTGGAGGGGGGAAAAAAGCTATCTTTTGGGCTCACCCTGGTGGCACAGAGGCTTAAAGCACAGCACTAAGAAGCTAAAGACTGAATCCCCGCCCCAGAGGTGACCCACATGGTACAGAAGACCTCTCCTGACCTGCCTGCTGCTCCCCTCAGCAGTATACTTTATCAACCTGCCTGTTCTGCTCCCCACTCCATCTCTGGTGAGTCCTCACCACCACTGCACCTCTGGCCTGTACCACAATATGCATAAATAAGTAAATCTTTAAAAAAAAAAGAAAACCAAAAACTGCATTTTTTCAAAGCCATGCACAAGTGCAGTAAGTCAAGCATTGCTCCCAATTTAGCAATAAAGGACATTCTGAAAGCCATGTAATTCAACCTGTGTGTAAGGTGCAATTCAACCTTTCAAGCTCCTGGACGTGCTTTTTACCAGCTGGTGAAACCTGAACAACATCTTTTCTAAAATAAAAGAACCTACTGTATTCCTGTGTTAGAAAAAACAGTCAGGGTTTTGTCTGTTCATGTAACAGTCAAGTTCCTTCAGCAGTGCAAAACAAAGTACTGGAGCAGTGCATCACTGCTCAGGGACATGAGACGAGCCCTTTGAGGACTGGGACTAAAATTTTAGAGTTGTCCACTTGAACTAGAATTAAAGTAGCCCTATCCAATTTTTACTATGCTGCCAGAGGGAAGCTTTCAGTCATCCATGAAAAATAACTTGAAGCAGCAGAGTTCTGGTTGTATTGCTCATCGAATGCACCTTGGTTTTAAAGGTCAATCTGTGGCATTTTATTCATTCAGGGTGTAAAAATGCAAGCATTGCTAATCCATGAGTTGGCAAAAAAAAAGAAAACATTTTAGGAGCCATCTTATCCAGGGTTAACCTCTTTTGTGAAATAAGAAACTACATTATAACAGTGTTCCTCTGACCCAGGAAACAGTGAGCTTTAGAGAAGGCCTAAAAATTTTGCTCAGACAAGGTTTAAGATACATGTTACAGAGGCCTCCCTGGTGGTGCAAGGGGTTAAGCACAGCACTATGAAGCTCTCTGCAGCACTGCAGCACAAGTTCGATCCCCAGTCAGGGAGGTGACTCACATGATGCAGCAGACCTCTCCTGTTTCCCCTGCTGCTCCCCTCAGCAGTGTCTTTCAGTAGAGCTGCCTGTCCTGCTCCCCACTCTGTCTCTGCTGAATCCTATCACCCCCATCCTCTGGCCTGTACCCCAGTTCTTGTGTACATAAATAAATCTTAAAAAATAGATATGTTACACATAGTTGGTAATGGCTTCTGTTTCATATTCACATTGTTTTGAGAAACTTTAATGTAAGCCCTGATCTACTTCATATACAAATCATTTCATTAACTAAACAATACTTCTATTTGTGGAATCTCCTTTAAGTTCTTAAAAAATTCAATCTAAACAAATATCATCATAAGTATTTCATAAAAGGAACAAAAACAAAATATTCCTGTTCAAAATTGCAGGTTAGGTTGGAAAAAATTAAGGAAATACTAGAAAATTCTAACATTCATTTGACCAGGGCAACCTCATTAAGAATTTCCCCGGCCCTTTTATCTTTAAAAAGATACTCGTTATCCATTCCTTTCAATCACTCAAGTATGTACTAAAAATCTAGCATATGCCTGACACTATCAAGAATTGCAGAGACAAACAAGTAAGGTTATAATCTCAGAGGAGGCAAAATATGAAATGGACATTCAGTAACCCATTCATCATTCAACAAATATTTATTAACCATCTACCACCTTTCAGGCATTGTATTCAGGGACACTATGTTGCATAAGTTACAGAATTCATGTCATAGAGTAGAGGAGAATGAGACAAAAGACATAAACAAGGCACAGTGAATATAAAAACATAGTCAAGTTCTCTTTGTAGGGAAAAGTACAGCTTCACAGAGGAGGTGGTGAGATGAAGTTTTGGTGACTTCCTACAAATAAACTCAAGCACACTGCTCTGTAAGGAACATGAAGTTTGAAAGGTATTTCTCAAAGGATTCTTTCAGCTCCCAACCCTCACAATCCTGCAAATTTCAGACGGAACAAGGTAAAGTTTCTATATGAATTATATTAGCAGCCAGGAATCACACTGGCTGTCCACACTAGGTGAGCATTATATGTAAGCTCCATATTCTCAGAAGTTTAACCAATGTCAAATGTAATTAAAAATATAAATGGCAATTAAAAGA